AGTTTGAAGAAAAAACAATGCCAGAGCAAAAAAAAAAAAAAAAAAAAAAAAAAAAGGCCCCCCCCCCCCCCCAAAAAAAAAAAAAATCGCAGAAGTTAAAGCAGAACAGTATTGCAACACCAAGTGCTGTGGAAAGCTTCTGCTGGGCAGCACAGTTATTCACCTTAACACCACAGTTTCAAGATGAAACATACCTTGAGCATTTTCTTATTCGCTGTGTTTTTGCCACATTCTCTTCTTAGCTGCTCACTCATCGCTTGCAATTCTCTTCCAAAATGGATCATTCTTTCAATAGCCGCTTGGCTGCCACCACATAGCTGACGTCTTAACTGACTTGAATCTACTTCTGCAAAAATGATACCGTCATCATCACCGCTAATAGAGCTGACAATAACAATCTATGGGTCTAGAGAACCTGCACTGATTTCACTCAAAAGACATCTGCCTTCTCAGACAGAAAGCACGTCGGGCCAGAGACCTTGGCATAATGTGCTCCTATACCGAGCACTGTTGAATTGCTCCTTCATAAACATTAAGAGACTTCCTTCCCTAACGGCAAAGGCTGTCTACACGTGCTGTTTATTTTGCAATGGTTAATTTTAAACTAACTAGGTTCTAAACCAAATTTTACCCTAAAATTTTATGGGAGTTTAAAATTAATAACGACAACAATGAAAGTCCACGCAGTTCTACCTTTTTAATTCTTTGGCATTGCACTTCTAAAGATAGGCCCAATCCGGAACTGCTAATAGAGGGTAAAAACACCCTGAACTTCCTGAACAGCCACGATGGACGTTGCTACAAGATGATCATTTAGACTGTTCATACTCCTTGTAGAATACATTAGCTTAATAATTTGGACATTTCAGGCTTCTTTTGTAATCAAGCAGAACACTACCACCGATTTCTTTACTGTTTGCTACAATATTCACCAATACTAGTGATTTTAAAAGCTATTAATGCAGTTTATGAATAGTAAATCAACCCTTGGCTTTTCTGAAAGTTCTGCCTTTTTTAAATTTACAACTAAAGCAATCAGTAAAAAAAAACCCCACCAACCAAAAAACACATTTATCCATTCCCTGCCTTTTTTCATCATTGGCATCAAGTTTTGAATTGGAATTTTGACGTACACTTTAATTACAAAACCGTTCTTCTTTCTGATTTTAACATTGCTATCTAGTGATGTATTTTGACCACTATTTCAAACAAGATTTCTAAGTGGCCACTTTACTTTTTTTTTTTCCCCTTAGATGTGAGCATATCACCGCTGGAAAAAATCTGCCTACTTAACATGACATACACAGCACTAAGGAGAATATATAAATACTTCAAAAAGCAAAAAGCCACCAAACTCAAACTGTGGGGAGTAAACAATGTAGGTTGAGGAGCCACAATTCTTTTTTACAAAGGTGAAGCACCCACAAGTCTTCAAGCAGTGGTGTTTGTTGCTAGCTGCAGCCCAATCTAGGACATCACTTTCCAAAGGCAGAAAACAACTACATTAAAAAAAACCAACTCTGCGCCCTGTGCAGCTGCTTCATGTCTGTCACAGCAAGCCTCTGTGGGAAAGGCTGCAAGAGAGTAAAGAAGTGTTTTGTTTTTTCTGTCACAGAAGTGACGCCTTGTTATTATCCAGTTTCAGAGTGTAATGCAGGGAAGCCACCCGGAAATTTGAATCTCCCCCCTTCAGGGCTGTAAACAGAATTATGTTTGCTTCTCAACAGTTACCTAGTATTTACCAACAAAGCTGCATGATCAGCAGCAGCACACACCCTCAGAACTGTGAAGCATTCGTAGACACCTGTTAAGTACTGCTGCATTCTGGAGGTTTACCAGCGATGTCCCGAGTTTCACGTTTCATTTAACTACCTATTAAATGGTAGTTAATCTATTAATCTATGGTTAAATCAATGGTTTGAGAAGATAGTTCTGCAACTGCAGAAGTGGCTGGGCTGGATTCCTCCACTTCTTCAGACACGGCCAGCAGTAACAACCATTGTCTAAGCTCCAGCCTGCATGCACTTAAGTGATCTGACTGCCTTTACTGGGCAGGGACAGTTAGCGCCGTAAGTGACAGAGTGAACAGTATCTTTTTATGGCGTGCTGGTAATCACGGGGTATTTAAATACTCATTTGTCACTAACGTCAACAGGTATGACTGAGTACAAAGCAGGTTAAGAAAAAAAAAAAAGGTATTTTTTAGACCACAACTATGTAAAACAGGATTTTTTTTTTTGGTGGAAAACTCCCCCCGCCCCTCCCCATCTCAGTTCCCAAATATAGCTCTTTTCTTGAGCATTT